CCCATGCCTGGGCCCAGCGGGGATGGGTGTTCGGTGCTTCCGGCATCCCTCCAGCCCAAAACGTGGCGCTGGGTTGAGAGCCCACACCTTTTGCAGGCTAGTCTCACAGTTTAAAAGATGAATGCCAATGTAACTTTCATGTGCTCTCACCTGGGTGTCAGGCACACCTCCTGCCCTTTGCTGTCGGCTGGAGTTAGCTTAGGGGGTGAGCTAAAAGGATCAGTCCCTTTAGAAGGCTTGAAGCGAGAGCCCAGCTGCTTTGGAGGCTTTCTACAGAGAACAGAAAGTCCCGTGCGCAGGAGACACAGCATTCTTAATTTTGGATCCCTTAACTTGAATTAACTCTTCTTGTTGCTATTTGTGGCCTGCCTGACACCCTGGAGTCCTCCCAGGTTTTCTTTAAGGTGGTGGAGAGGGAGATGAGCTACAGGTGCTCTATAGCTCAACTGATGATTTGTCATGCCAGTGATAACTGCTGATTCTTCTTTCCCTTCCCGGCGATGCTTTATCCCTGTGACATGCTCAGCTTCCGCTGGCCCACGACCCGCTACAGGCTTTGAAACTGGATCCCTTGACTGGTTGCGACCCGTGCTGGTGCAATGGCTGGTGAGGCAGATTAATTTACCGCTCACCTGTTTGCGTATCACTTGCTTTGCTACTTGGAATAGAAACTGAAGATGGTTGTTTCTGAATGAAGCAGATTTCACTATTGATAAAGGAAACAGGAAGACTGGACTGCTTGTGAGTATCTGGTTTGGTTGTTTTGGAGAGTGAGAAATTGTTTTTGTTAAAATCACCGGTTGCTGTTCTGTTCCTTGTAATCTGTGTACATACCAGGTGTTAGCTCCTGAGAACAGCAGGTTAAGTGCCTGGGAAGTGCCAGAGAGAAAGGTTTGGTGGCTCTAGAGACATCGCGTAGCTGCAATGCCCTGCACTTGCTTATCAGCATATGCTCCTGCCTGGGGTGATCAAAACTAAAGTGGGATACTGGAGTTTCCTATAGCTCCCTGAAGTACGCCTTGAGTTACAATTTTGTGTTTTTTCCCTTTTTCATTAATTTTTAGGTCTCAAATACAAATGCTACGATATAGAGGTGGAAAAACTGAGGGAGCTCTAAAATATGTTTGAAGACCAATGTTAACAAGTGGCATCTAAATTTCTAGTCTGCACCTGTGTTCTACCTGATAATAGGTCTCACCATTTTTTAAAAGATGGACTAAGTAACAATTTCCCTTTCCCTTTTCCTTTCTTCCTACATTCCCTTTAACATCCGTTTTCTGTTGCTATTTCTCCTTCCCCCAGGCTGTGGCCTGGGATCGCTACCTTTCACTGGTGCTCAGGCACAGAGGAACAGTAGCAGTGCACTGAAGGGTGTTATTGGGATGTCTTGTTGGTTAGAAGCTGTGCTGGCACTGCATTGAAACAGCCTGCATTAGGTGCTACAAATGAAACTCCTGGACCTAATTTTTATTTATGCTGACACTCCAGTACTCCTCCTCATACTCCTTGCACAGATCATTGCTGAGAAAAAAGTAGCCCTTTTTTCCCCACTGTCTGATGGAGCCATTTGTACTTGAATTACGAAACGTTACCAGTTGAGCTGCATCATTCTACAACTACTGTTGCATAGCTATAAATGATGTAAAAATGTACAGAAATGCAGAGAAACAGGACCCTGGAGTCATTCTGCAGCTAAGCCTAAATGAGAAATGTGTAGGTGTCTTAGACATGGGGTCGATCAGGGATAAAACAATAGTTTGGGTTTTGCTTGCAGGTTTATGTTTTCTAGTCAACCCTAAGATATCTAAGCACCTTTTTCTTTCATCACATTAATCTTTACTTCAAATGACAAAAAGCCCCACTTTGCTTTGTAAATAAACAGAATCCTACCTTTGAAAACAAGAGCAGTGATGACAAAACTGTAGGCTTTAAAGATAAGAGACCGGTTTGTTACAGAGCAAAGTAACAATAGTGGGCTTTTGTCCATTGGAAATAAACATTGATGATGTTATGCATGTGCTCATTGCCCACATAAATCTGGGCAGAAATAAGTCTTTACATTGCAGATCACAGCTGCCGACTGCTCCTAAGTTTGTTACTTCTGAAGCATTCAGACTTGTAATGGTGTCGTGACTACTTTGTTCTGCTGTTGCGTGTGCCAAGACCCGAGTATATCACCAAGTAAAAGGCGATGAGACCAAAAGAAACCCAAAAAGCCACTCTCAGAAAAACCCAAAGCTTGCACTATTGATTAATCTTATCAGTCATGAGGGTCAGGCTTGCATATCAAGCTGCTTAACTTATGTTTGAAGCACCACCTTAAAGTAAATGTGAACAAAAGGTAGAAAGTTTTAAGCCCTAGATAGCCTGAATTTGCCTTTGGATCTGTAGATAAACGAATGGATTTTATATAGATAACATTTATCTTGAATGTTTTTTCCCCACTATCTGGTGGGAGTGGCTGTACAATGAGAAACCAGTTCCTTGGACTGGGCTGACTGCTCCAGCTGCTGGGATGCTGCAGTGCGCGACCTTCTGGTTCTTTACCAGAAATTTCACTCTGGATCCAAGAAATGTTCACAGTTATGGTTTAGGCAGACAGATGCTTTCTTTGTGAAACGTCTGTTATAATGAGTTTGTTTACTCTTTTAAGTTCCATCTACCCAGAAAAAATGTCATTGATGTTCAGACAGCTTGTCAACAGGAAATATGGTCAAGGAACTTTTTGCTTATTTTCGTGTTACTCATACTACAGGAAATGAGTGTGTCATTATTTGCACCTTTCTGTGAGGTGATGTCATGACCACTTGCACTGCTGTGGTGTTTAGGTTTTTTTATTTGAAGAATTTAAATGTGAAATTCTTACTAATCTTTAATCAGACTCATGTTGACCGCAAGCCAAAGTTTGCTGAGTGATCTTTCTTATGACGTGCAAGTTATACAGCGTAGTGATAGGTAGGGAAAAAACCCCTAAACTCCATTATTGGCCAAGACTGGAGAACTCGGAATGGAGGGCCCCAAGAGTGGGTGAAGTCCTGGCTGAGTAGCAAAGAGGGTTTATACTTGGATACGTCTAACCACGCTCTTTAGTTTTCTAACCAGTCCCTCTGTGTTAAAATTGTTCATACAACAGAAACAATAGTTCCCTAGGTGCATCCTGCCCTTCAGCTCTGTGGGGTAAGGAATAGAGGGGGAAGTTTCCTTGGGGATGGGAGAAGGGCTTTGATCACTTGTGATCGAGGACAAACCATCCCCGCACTGTACTGAATCAGCCCTTTGGGTGTGTCTTTTCAACAAGACAGGCTCTGATGGAGGGATGCAAAATCCTCACATTATCTTACCTACTTTTCCGTGAGCCAGAGCACTCAAGCTGCAGGCCAGATTTACAAGCTAGCCAGCTGAGTGCGGCAGATGAAAGGCTAGGGCCCATCTGCACAGGCGCATGTACATGGCTAAAATAAACCCTAGTCTGCCATCATTGTCAACAAGTGTAATTTATTATTATGGCCAAGGCAGCCAGGAAAGTGCCTTTTGCTTTTTTGGGGACTTACGTTCTGCAATGCAATGCTGGTGACTGTGCCAGAAATGTTGCTTTTGTTTGATTAGCTTTCTCTGGAGTTTTTTTGAGATTTCTTCCCCCCCTCCCAAAAAAAAAAAGTTTTTTTTATGCTTCACAAGTGAAGCAGTGGTCTATGTCTACTGGAGCTACTTAGAGCTGCAATTGGTCATCTAGCTTACAGAACCAATAGTCTTTGGTAGACACTCAAGAGCCACAAGGGAGGCAGGTGGTAGCAGTTGTATGTATGAACTGTAACCACTTGGGTTTGTCCTTGGAGGAAGCAGATTAAGACCAACCCTAAGAGGTATTTGGGGACAGGCTTTATCCGGTTCCTAAAGCTTCTTATGGTTCCTCACCTACAGCAAGACAATATAACTTCCCGGCATTTCCTCAGAACCTGTTGAGCTCATTCTGCAGTACCATGAATGCCAGGTAATAGCTGTACTCTGATTAGACAAAGAAATTTGGGCTGATTTTGTGCAATGCATGTGCTAACTTCAGTTTAAACTTTAATCATACAATAGACCACCTTTTCTCCATTTGCTGTAGAAGACGCCTGATGGGTCTTCTACTAGATAGTCCTAGTCATCAATCAGTACCCAACTCAGTCTTTTTTCAAAACCAAAGCTTGATGCAGAATGCTGTGCCAAGGTTGTCATTAATGCAAGAAATTGAACCGTGTATTTTAGCGTTGTGCAGTTTGAAAATTGTTTCAGTCCTCACTTTCCAGAAATATCAGCTGAATCACAGACAACTAGGATTAAACAGCTCAAGAGCTGCGTATAAAACAAACAAACAAAAGAGTTGCGTATTAAACAGCTCAAGAGCTGCCATAGGCAGTAGCTAGAGATAAATGTCCTTTTCAGGCCAGAAAGCTGACAGGAGGTTAGGCAAAGACTGAGAGCAGCTAATACTGCAAAATGGCTCTTTATACCTGTCGCTACAAGGAATAAGACAATTGAGTTCATGGTTGAGGGCTGAAGAAGGAATGATCATCTACCAGCACCAAAAGAAATTCTTATGTTCGGAAAGTTGCCTGTCCACACTCATTCCTTATTTCACCCCAGGTAATGCAAGGAAAAGGTATGTTTCTTATGTTCTACAGTTACTGTAAAAGGAAAAAAGTTGATTATAAGAACTTCGTGCCTCAATGGGATTTAACATCAAACAATGCCCTCTTCCAGGATGGACAAACAGATCCATCTCTGCTCTGCAGGTATGTAGTATACCAGGTTTTGATGTGTGTAAGTTGAATTCTTGCAAACTACAAAATCTTGGATCTTTATAGCAGGACCACAACTGAACTAGCAATGAATTTTATTTATAATCAATAAAAACAATAAATATTTCAGAACTTACTATTACAGCTTTTTAAAAATATACATCTAATTTTAATATTCTCAAAAGTTCAGTTATACAATTATAGACAAAATTTACAAAATTTTTTTGATAAGTGACACTTTACCCTTTAGAGTCTACATTAATACAGAGATTAATTAATGCCCAATTAATAATATCCTGCTAGAGAGATTTTAGCAGTATTTAAACAAATTGAAAATAAATAATTTACTACTATTTAACAAATGGCAATTCTCCACAGAACTAGCTCTATCCCTATTTAACAGCTAAGTTTTCACTACTATTCTGAATAGTCACGTGAGATCTGAAGGGCCTCTGCAAAGCTTTCCTCAAGATCATCAAGTTCCTTGTTGGCTTCCAAATCAGTGTCACAAGTAATCAAGTTTAAAGTTGCCTCACATGAGGGTGAAGTGTCTGGGTCTTCTTCAGATTTCGCACAAGGATCATACTCTGTCCCAGCATCCATCATTTCAGCGACATCTTCTGAAAAGTCGTCCTTGCTCTGTGGCTCCTTTGAACTTTCCCTGCATACTGGTGATTCACATTTGTTTGGTTCCTTTAACGATAAGTCCACGTTCCCAAAGAATTCTTCACTTTTTGTAGCTTCTCTTTGCCTCTGACTTTTGCTGGTAAACTCAAGCTCTTCCATCATATCAAACTCTTGCAGATCCAGCGAGTCAAAGGCTTCCCAGCCTGCGTGGATTTGCTCCACGCTGCTGCCCGGGCTGCAGCCGAGGTCTGCTTTCAGTACATCCAACAAGTGGCGCATTTTGCTCTAGGGGGGGTGAAGGAAGACAGGGTTGATACTTCTCTAGCCCCATGGTGTTTATCTGCCCAGAACTCAGGGCTTAATTCTGACATAAGAGAAGGGAGGCTGCTTGCAATCAAGTGACTAAACTATACAGCAAGTGTCACCAAACTGAGTTGACTATTGTCCCTTTTTTGTGACTGTGCCTGTGACTCCTGATCTACCGTGATCCATGAGTCTGCAAATCTCATTTACGGAGAGAGATGCTCCCCACTCAGCATTCTGGTTACCTTTACCCACAAATATACCAGTGCATTTCCACTGTACTTTGGAAACATCACTGAAGTCATATGCAGAGAGGGAGAATATTATAGAGGCAGCACCTACCTCATCCAAACGGTTCTTATTTTCTTGTATATGACACTCAAACAGTTGTTCCAGAACTCTACAAATGAACAATTAAAAGTTGGTTTTCTTCCTGTGAAATCATTTAACAGAGCTACATAAATTAATGACCTTAGATTTTTATTTTCATTTCTTAGCTGAATGGGACCACTAAAGACTGTTTCAATTATGCTCTGTCACGAGGAGGGCTACCCGGAGTCAGTATCCCACCGGCCACGTGCTCAGCAGGCAGACCCAGCTTTGGGCAGCGGATGGTAACCATGGGGTGATTTGTAGCACAACTCTAGGTGTGTTTGGTCTGTTGGGTCTATGCGCTGGGAGAAACCAACAATCCAGTGGTGGTTCTACTGGCATGCTGAAGTATCCAAAATCTCTTAGGTGCACCATAGTGGCTGATACACACAAGTGTAAATAAAGGGAATGAATAAAATCCAGCTTCAGAAAAAAATCCAGAGAAAAGTCCTTAGTCCCGAGAGCTCTCTTCCGTTGCTTAAGCAAGACGAGAAAAAAATTCAGCATAGAGGAAGTGTTCTGTGACAACTAAGGTAGACAGTCACTGGAACAGATTTCCAGAAGGTCAAGTGAATTTAATCTAGCTTTTGTAAAAAAAATTAAAAAAAAAAAAAATAGTGCAAGAAGGCTTTTAAGGGAAGTCAACATTACTGTAAAAAAGAACCAAAGGAGACTGCTCTTGAAATTTCTCAAAAATTAATTTTTTGATTCAGTGTATTTAACATTCTCACTGATAGCCTTGACACGAGGGGGGGGAAAAAAAGAGTGTGCACAGAATAGTAATACAGCTGGGAACATTACCAACCCAGAGGAAGATCAGAATATTATGCTGAAATTAAACTGCCTTGAAAATGGAATTACAAAAATGGGTTAAAATTCTGTATCGGAAATACTGCAGGTTTTTTTTTCTATAAACTGAGAGTTCTTTATCAGAAAGAACAGGTACGGAAAGAATTTGGGAGTACTACTCAAATACATGAATTGTATCATAACTTACTGTTGAATTTTTGAAAAAAATCTGATTTAGCAACTGGTGAACCCTTATCTGAAACACTATGTAATCCTGACAACCCACGTTGAAGATTGAATTGATACTGGAACAGGAACAAGGACAGAAGGGAGACAGAGGATCTGTTGTGTGAGAGATTAGTAACTTGGTTTATTTAGCAAAACAGATGTTGCAGAGTAAAATGATTTCTTCTTAGCGTTACTCCACCTAGGGTTCCAGGTCTGTTTCTAACAGAGGCTTTATCTCATGGTACATAGCAGCAGATCGAAGTAGATGACCCACAGGTCTTTCCTAGTTCCCCTTTCTCACGTAAAGCAAAAAAGAAAAGGAAACAAAACAAAAGCAAGGGGTAACTGTGTATCTAAATATTCTTAAAGGCAAAGAAATGATTACTAAACACTACTTCCCTTTCTTACCGAGCCTATGCATTTCTGACACAGCATTACAAATTTGAAAACAACCGTAACCTACCTGTTAGAAAACAGCCCAAGGCTAAGAATTTCATTTGTTACATCTTCAATGAAAGATAAATACAGAAGCTCCTCTTCTCTGCAGGGAGAATAGAAACCCCGATGTTAAATGTTTTAAAATAGAGACACATTACATAGTGCAGTAGGTCCAGTCACCTTAATGGCATTTCCCATAAAGAAGATTGTATAGTTCTTGGCACCAGCTGCTGTTTTTCAAAAAGGTAATTCTATCAGGACAAACTAAGCCTTTCATTCAATTTGAATAACAATAAAAAAACCTCTGTAAAATATCAGACTGTTAGAAAGGTTGCTATGTTGCTTCGTGTTTATGCTAACTTTCTGTTGTGGTATAAATTAGCACAGAGATCCTGAGTGAGGAAATCAGCAAATCTTGGAAAGCGTTCAGAACCTGCTTTGCACTCAAGAAGAAAGGGGTGCTAACTGGGAAGAAAGTGTAAAATCGCAATTTGATGCTCTGAGTAAAGGCTTCCAAAGGAGCTTCTAGAGAATCTGACTGCAGCTGAAAATTGCTAATCCTCAATGGAAGCTCAGAAAAATGTAAGTGCTTATTTAACAGCCTCCATTCCTTTCAAAGAACAACTCTTTGATGTATAAAATCCTTGTTAGTGTGAGATGTGGCTTTCACCTCTTTGATCAAATTTCTCTCTATTTTAATGCCTCTTAAAGCCTTGTTGATGCCAATTGCTCTAAATGGGAAACTCTCAAAAAGTCTGGAGTTCTGTTTGGAAACCAACAAGAAAGAAAACCCCAAAAGAAAGGATTTCAGTGCTGTTTCTCTTTCATAGCATCTTTCTAAATATCCCAAAGTATCCACTCAAACTCTATCGAATCATCTTCCAGTCTTAATAAACAGAAAATAAAAAAAATGGGATACATCTTGCATGACTTTCATTATGGAAAATTTGTCATCCAGCCTGAAGAATGTCATTTTTGTTCCCTCTATAGTCAAGAAAGATATCTATAGCTGATCTTTGATACCTATATTACATCCTTAAAGTTAGGCAAGAACAAGCCTGTCCTAAAACACAAAGAATTAAATAACTTTCCCAAGGTCACATGATAAAGCATTGGCAGTGTTTCTGAATATAACTCAAACCTCTTCTAATTCTCATCAAATTTCAGAGCAGAAGTGTGGTAAGAATGCCCTTCAACTTGATATTTTATTTTGCCAACATTTGCTTCAGAGATTACAGACCGAAAAAGAGCTGGAAATGTTTAAAGTATAGACTTCTCTTCTTGTCCAGTGGCTATCTTTCTTCCGAAGTTATAATGAATTTTCTCGGTTTTTAGAGTCACATAGAAATTTGTAAGTATTATGTAACAATTCATAGTCATGTCAATTCTACTGTAAATTGTGAACTGCAGTTTATTCTGCTATCAGTTTTGAGGAGGAGTTTCTAGTTTAATGTTGCAAACTAGCAGAAAAATGGTTTAAGCATACTTACTCAGCCTCGATAGTCCTCCTTGCTGAAGACTGCTGAGAATACAATGATGTCTCTCTAATCAGAAAATCAGAGGGTAAGAAAGAGAGCAACATTCTAAAAACCCTTTATACTACCTTGCATCTCATTTTCTTCTGGAGCCATGCTGCGCCATTATCCTGCTTCCTCTTGGAAAAAAGCCCGCCAGAACACCCCCAAACCCTGCTCCAGCAGCAAAATCCACTGCTTACACTGAAGCCTGAAAGACTATGCTTCAAGAGTATTATAACACCTCACTAGATGCAGTGCTCTAACACTTCAAAAGACCTCAGTGTTACTTCAGATGCTATACAGACCTCCACTATCCACAAGAGTGCTTTTTTTACTCAGAGTACAATTTTTTCCTCAGGTAAAAATGCCTTTCTATGAAAAGGCCAGAGAGCAAATCAGCGAGTCATGCATGATACTTAGGTCAGCAATGAGGACAATCAGCTGGGAGCCCTTGGGTTCTGGTCTGATTTCCAACACTGTTCTTGTATTGTAGACAATATTCTAGATCTCAGTGTTACTTTTTCAGAAAAAGATGTGGGAAATGTCTCTGGTCTGCAATTCTCGCAGATCATCGATTCAAAAGGCTGGACATCTAGACACCCTTTTTCCTGAAAGGAAATACCAATTGGAATACCAATCCAGCATTTAGTTGTAGTACTGTGTGAGAAATATAGTCTGCAAGCCCAGATGTATGCTTGGATGTACAGAACTAACGGCTGTATTAGCGTGTCATCGCTCTCACTCCCGACAAAAACACTCATCTATTTCAGAGCTCTCTTTCTTAATTGGCTTCCCAGGGGAACTATATCATAAGAAAATAATGAATTTTGAAGTTGGGAAAGGCCATTGATCTAAAAAAACCCAACGAAACAAAACTCCCGTGAGAAGAGACTTATAAAGAGTCATGGTAGTGAAGGCTTATGGCCTAAGAAGCAGCTGTTTAGTAAGCAGGAAGGAATGCTTCAAACGTTCCTTCCTGCTGTAAATCGGGCACCTTAGGAAGGAGTATGGAAAAGCAGCTATTCCTCTCTCAGGCACATCCACAGTGTATCTTCTATTTTCAGCCTACAACACAGAGATAAAATCTTTATTATCAGTGCAAATACACAGCAACTTTCACCATTAAAATGAACCTAATAACTATTTGTGATTAAGCAGCCCTACAAAATTTATGTCTTTTCTGAGAAACTTTGGGTAAACTGAGACACACGGCAGCAAAGCGTCATCAGCTTTGACATCCAAAATTTTAGTCAGGGGCAACAGGAGATGTGGAACATTTCTCCTCCGACAAGTATGTCAAAGATGAATTCTATAAAAGCCAGAGGGGGTCGATGTCACCAACAGGAGTAAAATTTGGTATGCAAAAACAGGAACCAGCACTCTAAATCACATCTCTTGAGCTGCTTGCACAAAGCTGATGGGAAGTAAAGTTGCTGACTGCCTGCATTTTAAATGATAATGCTCTGAAAGGGCCACTGTAAAGCTACGTGACTTACTGTTGTCACTTTTACAACAGCGAAAGAAGAAGTCAGATATGACAGTTTTGAAATGAAATCAGAAGTTCTTCATGGAACTGGAGTGGTCTTCTGAATAATCATTTATAAGCTTTTCTTAATGAGGTCAGCTGCAGATCAATTCAGATGGTCTCTCTCCTATCTTCAGTAAAGCTATAAATACATACTCTCTCCCACCCCTCTCCTCCAATGAATAAAGCATAATTATTTGCCTTACTAAGCTAGAGGCATGAAGAGTCTGACCCTGTAGCCTTTATTCAGGAAGAAAGTCCACAGTTATTCAAGTACATCTCTTATGTTTGTCAGTGCCATTTAAGGACTTGTCTGGATAGTGTCAGCAAGATAAAGCACAAAGTAAGATCTGATCAAACTGATCAGTATGTTTCTGATCAAACTCTTCCATCCAAATATTAGTACAAATTAAGACAAAATAACTTCAGATTTGAAGTCTTCAGAAATACTCAGGTCTTTTGCCTGCTTCCCTCTGCCTCCCAAAGATGCTGGTATTCCATTTCATCTTTAAAATTTAATAATCTTAAGCCACCACAGACTAAGGCAATTTCTGAAAGACCAAATAACTGAAAAACTAAATTCAACTGTCACAAACACTTAGCAATTCAAATCAAAATAATGGGTGCAAACATTCTGTGACTACGACAAAAAAAATACTAGGACCTGGTAGAATTTGAAGTAGTGTGATTTTTCATTAAAGCATTCCAGATACATTCAGCAAGACAGAAAGCAAACAGTATCAAGGAAAACTTCACCACCCGCTGGTTTGGGTGCTTCCTCAGAGGAAGGGACTCCTTGGTTCCAATTCTTCCTGTTGAGGGCTTTATGGAATATGTTATCCAATGTAAAAATGAAGAAAAAAAAAATCCTTGAAAAAGAGGTACCTTCTTCTGCTGAAAAATAATGTACCAATTATCTATGCCCTTAACAGATACTTAAGTGATAGTGCACTTGTAAAAACCGTTGAAAAAAAATAATTTAAAGTTTTGTAATATCCTAAGATCTCTTCACATGCCTCAATATTTTTTCTTACTGTTTCTACTTGTTCTTCTGAAACTCTCTCCCCCCTACAGAACTAATTCATCTCATGACAATAAAGAAAATGAAACTTAAATCAGTTGTATACTGCTGTGACAGAGATGAAGGATATACTCCAAAATGATGGTGAAGGGTGTGGTAAGAGTACCCAGATGACTGATAGATGTATTACCTTCAATGTGATCTTCTGCTGTTCAGTCATAACTTTTCTCTCAGACGCTTTGTCTGCAGATGGAAAGCTACAAAATTCAGAGATGTATTAGATTTCCAAGAAGGCTACTTTCAAAATATGCAGGATGAGAACACCAGTGCCACTGTGGAAGTTTCCCATCAATCTGAACAGGACCTAGTACTAAAATGTCTCAGACAGTTTAGAAAATTTCTGCCAGACTTCCGTTCACATAATAAAACTAAGTTATAGGTCATTTTGAAGGATGCCAACAGTCATACATAGGTGATCCAAATCCATTATTTCGCTGCATATTTACAGGGGATAGCTAAATTATGCAAAATAATTGTTCAGAATTGAGAATGGAGATGATCCTATACATTAAAAGTGCACCAGGAAAATATATGACACACAGCCAGTAAATCAATAGTTGCAATATGGAGCCAAAGCAATCATAATTCCAGTCTTGTGAAATTCCTACTTCGTTCTAGGACAAAAACAGAGTTAGACATGCAGGCACTGAGGACACAAAAGAGAAAAGATTTCTCTTTATGAGGTAGTATCAGTAAAAACCAAAACTAAATCAAAACTGTTTAATTTGCTAAGAAGGAGTTCAATGCAAGAGAAGGACATTAATTTTATATAAAATATTTCATATAGGATACATCTGAAGGCATTTAAATTAAAATGATAAAAAGACAGTGAAGAGCTGTATTCCAGAGTTAAAAAAAAAACAGAAAGATGTTTGCATGATGTATTAATTAACGAACTGGAAAGTATGAGACTACAGGGGCAACAGTGGGGAACTACTTGCATGCTTATAGTGGTTAATTCTTTGGAAGACAGAAAGTACAACTATACACCAGAGAGAGCCAGGAAAAGAAAGAGGGAACGACTATCCCCAGCAGATGTGAGATCCCACAGTTTGGATTTAGTGGCACTTTGTATCCAATTTGTATAGATGAAACTAGTTGCTCCAGAGAGAAGGCAACAAAATATGGCAGTGAAAAAAGGAAAATCACATTCTGTTCTAGCTTTTGCTAAGGCATATCTAGAATAATTTCAGAATAATTATTCTGGTTTTATACAAATGTAAATGAGAGCAAAACATGGTGCTTTTATGAAGATACTGTTATGATAACATCTAAATTCCACAGTTTCAAAATAAAGTTTTAATCTCTGTACCTGATCATATCAGTCTGTGTTTGAGCTTCCACATGCTGCTTGCAGTGATTTTTCCTTTTCCTTCGAGCAGGAGTGTAATACCTGTACTCTGACAGGAAAGATTTAGCATCTGATATTAAGGTGCGTGGAGTAAAAGGTTTTCGGCTATCAGTAAAGAATTCAGAGTGCCTGTCTAGAAGATCCCCACTGCATACTTTGGAGTTGCTTCCTTGACACCTCTGGGAATGACGAATGCTCACAAAACTATCAGTGGAGCAACTGCATGAAAGTCCAGAGTGTTTTCTTGGTGTACTTGATGTACTGACACTTGAGTTTGAGTTAGATGCATTAAATATATTCCGACAATCTTTTCTGGCATATTTTCCTGGACTGGAGCGAACCAAGCCATGCTCGCCGTAAGGAGACAGCGCTCTTGATAGGTACTGTGCCTGCTGAGCACCGGGGAAGAGACCGTCTTTGTCTTCTGCTTCCAAGAAACTCTAGAAAAAATTAAAACAAGACTGGATTGCTTTGCAAGTTACCAGCTTTGCTCAAGTTGGTACTCCCAGCTATTACTGTTACCAACTTGGAGGTATTTTCTATGTAAAAACTTTCCATTTTTGTAAGATCAAACTGGTTTCAGAGCAGCACCAGTGCTAACAGATTTTAAAACCTAGCCATTGGAAATAAGAGAGTAATAAGAAAATGGTTTGCTTCAGTAGCAAAACATTGGTGCTTTGTTACAGAATATTGAGGGCTACATCAAACCAAGAGTTCTAATCATTTTAGTCCAAAGGCTCAATACATTTTTAAAAGTCAAGGAATCACTGCATTGAGGCAAATTATGTTATCTGGGTATGTTTTGTTCATACCACCCGGGCATACTACCAATAAGGTAGACATTATCCATAACTATCCTACTGACTAGTTCATAGTATGTATTCTCTTCAAGTGTGGAGTTGTTGCCTCTCTCTCCAAATCCTATTAGCTTCAAAGCGTATCACACACCAGCTATCTTTATAAAATGTATATTCTGTATGGGGCACCGCTCACTGATTCAACTCAGACCAACACGGAAAATACTGTAATGTGGTTTAAGACACAGAATAAGAAAACTATAACTAACTGTTTATTCCATGTGTGACCCTTTTCTTCCTGTAGGTGGGAGATGCACATCTGTGGTAGGGCTGTACAAACACAGGATGTTACCTTTGTAATGGCATCCTGCTCCACGAGAAATATCCTGATTGCTATAAATACAATCATAATGTCCTCCAGCAGACACAGTCAAGTTTCTATCCTGTTCTCCTTTGGGTTTCTCAACCCAGCAGGTACATAGACAGCTGTGAAACTTTCCCTCTAAGGCTACAGAAAACCAACAGTGCGAGTAGTTAGCTTACTACAGTTAAATGGGACGGATAACAACGTGCTGAGTTTATGAATAGATATACTCTATTTCAGGTGATGGTAGAGAAATGGTATTACTGCTCCTGCTTCTTAACTGTTCAACAAATTAGAGTTTAAAAATGTACTTCAATTCTCAGAAGCAAACTTATATTCAATGTTACTTTAAAAGGATACAGTTAAAAGGCTACTAGTTAGACAACAAACTAATAGAGACAAATCAGTAGTACTAAGGTAAGAGGTAGGCAGTGTGTGGTTCAGACTAATATTATGGTCAGCTAACTCACTCCTCACCAAAAGAAGCACAATATAAGTCTAATTTATATGCAGGTTGAAGTCCAGGTGTCAACTTTAGTCAGTAAGAACGCCTAATTGCGGTTTCCAGTAACGATCTATTTTGTATAGAATCTAGCCAAACAAATCTCGATGTGGAGGACAACCAAAACAAAATGGGAAACCTTATAGCAAAAGCTCATCTATGCATCTCTTCTTTTTCTCTTTGAGATCTGTAACGTTATTTTTAAGTATTGAGTAAGTTAAAAAGTTAGTGAAGTGAAGCACCGCAGCAAATATTAAGAGTAGTTAATAAGGAGGAAGCCAAGTACACCAGAGACTAGCGATGACCATGAACATAAATCTGTCCTACAGAAGGTGATGGGGAATTTTCCAACACATTCAATTTTAGAAGGGCTGAGTCTTATCAGAAACATCATTTTAATGCCAGGGTTAAGAAAACAGTTGATAACCTAAAATCAAAACTTGAAAACTAAGTCTATCATTGAGAAAGGTTAAAGAATGAAGTATTTGGAAAGACCATACTATTTTTTCTGCTTTCTGAAAAAAAAATCTTAATGCTTAAAAATTCAAAGTTATTCCTGAATAGTAGTATGACACTGTGGCAAAAACAAGACAGAAACACAACTAAATCTAAGTGACATCTTAAGCTTTTTTTAATTGGTCAAATGAGAATGAACAATTCAATAGAAATTTTATTTCTCTCAGAGTTTTGAAAAATCTGCCACTCCAAAGCATAAATACCTGGACAGGGTATGTGCACTAGTAAACGTGCTTTACAATGTGTCTGAAAAGTTAGGAAGCATCTTAGCAAGACAGCTGTTGTATATTCTTTTCCTACCTAGGATACAGGCACCCACTGAATATTCTGTCAGTGAGTGAAAAGTATGTACGACATTTTACAATCTCCAAGGACAGCCATATTGCAGAATTAGAATATTAAACCAGAAGCCTAACAGCAAACAAAATTTTGTATAAACTAACTTATTTCATCCACATGTATAACTATTTGTGCAATTCAAGTTCTGTTACACACAACTGTATGATGGAGAAGAGATGACTCACGCTGTCACGTCGGACTACCTAGGAGTACAACGCCCAGCGACAGTGCTTGCATGTAGGTCCTGCAACACTCAGGGAGATAAGCTGAGGATAGTATTATTCTGGAAAATCTCATTTCCATACCGTGCAATCAGAATAATACAAGGCAAAATAACAGCTAAAATAAAACGACATCTGACAAAACCCATTAAAAACCAACAGCTAACAAAACCAAATTAATTCAGTTTTAACTAACTAGCCAGACTTTTTAAAGTAATTATTTTACTTTCCTTACAGTCAGGCAGTTCATATAGCTCCACATCAACAGCAACTAAGTGCTGCATGATTTAAGAGAATATATACAAGAAAGATGTTTCCTAAGAAGAAAATTCAATTTCTAAGGCCAATTAAGGACCAGAGTTCTAACAAACCTGAAGTTTAGGTTCAGATAGGCTAACACAGAGATTAACTTGTTGGTGTACCTCCACCATCTGAACAAAGAACAGGAATATAAGGAGAGACCTGTACAGGCCACAAAGCTCTGCAGTGAAAAAAGGGACAAGGGGAAGTTGATTTCCATATGTGTTCCATTCATCTCTATTACGCTTCTATCAAACAAGTAAAAACCATTAAGTAGAAGCATCACATTACTGAAGTCACTGAAGGAATAGCTGCCCTATAGAAAGCCTGAGAAAGAGTGGATCCAGTATGATATGACTTAAACATATGCTGTGATATGCATTTATTTATGACATACAACCCTAACTGCCAGTTGAGAAGATTCACCTAGCAGCCCATCCTGATCTTATAATTAATCCATGTAGAAATTATTTTGAGAGACTAACACTGAAGCATGGATTCAGTGGATTTCCAGTGGTGCTTCATTGCCTGAGCACAATATAAACCTGGAGAAAATCCTCAAGAACGCTTCTTTTTGAAAATAATCAGGTGATTAAGATGTGGATTGAAGGTTGGACATGTGATTTTCCCCACCAGTAAGTGACAATGGACTGAATGGCAACAAAAGCGGCAAAATCAACTGTAAAAGAAAGTACCTGTTGGAATTCTGCAATATAATCAATACTTGTGAGACTTTTGAAGTCTCCTACTGGAGGAGGTATGGAGGGGAAAAAATCCAAACAACCAAACTTGGAAATCCTTATACATTTGTTGAAAATTCATGACATTGTAACCTACTTACATAGTATAGGATAGTAATATATTACCAGTTTACTAGTAATATATAGTATAGAATATTAACCTATGTAATTCGTAGTATAGCTTGTAAATATACATAGATTTTCTAGTCTATCATTCAAATCCTAAAAAAGGTGTTCTTAAAAGTCCTAAGCAATACGACTCTTACTGTACAAATGCTGCATTTTCTCATAACACTGCTAGTGTTACTGCTTTGAATCTACACTATTCCATTTTTTCCCTTTCAGAACCACTTAATATTTTAAATTAAAACTCAAGATGATGAATATACATTTTGTGGCATGTAGTAAATGCTATTTAGAGGAATATTAAAAAATGCAGATAGTTTACCAGCAAAATTAAGTCACAGATCACACTGCTGTGATACCATATATTTCCTTCACAACAATTCCACACAATAATTTTCTCCCACATCAGTAAGACTTATCTATTCTATTCCAGTACCCCAAAATGTCCATAGTTGCTGATGCTTAATGCAAAGAGGTATTTTTTCTTAGTTAGCTGAGCCAAAATAAGCCCTTCTTGACGGTGTCTCATGTGAGCCAACTTTATTTTACTACTACAGCACAATTAAATGCTGAACTGATAACATGCAGTAACAATGCCAAACAAATGCCTGTGTTAGCAAGCAGTATAATAAGGCTTACCAGTGTGATTGTTTGCATATAAAGTACTTGCAGTGGTAGCTCAGCACTATAGAAAACAGATAAGACTGGAAAGTTTCAGAATCCACCTATATAGATGTTTTGAAAAGCCAATTCCATACCCTTCAGTATGTATTATAAACAGCTTAATTTTTCTTGTATACTTTTTACTCTCAGTGATTAAAACAGTTCATGAAGCTGCAATATAAATCAGATTGTAGAAGCATTTGTGAACATATGATGACTGATGCCCTGCAATATACAAAATAATAATTAAAAAAATATATTAAGTGATATTAGCCAATTACACAACTACACCTCCTGAAAGCCACATGTTCTATTCCTTGGAAGCAGTTGAGCTGATCCTAAAACAAGACAAAGGTACAGGGTAAACATGGCAATATCCTAAATTTAAGCATTCCTTATTTATGAGGAAGCTTAGGGCAGTCCTTTTCTTCTCCTCCTCAAACATATCCTAAGTAGAACAGACCAAGTAGCTAAGGTGGCTTGAATGACGTAGTCATTCAAGTACTGAGAAGGAAGAATGTCTTTTGAAGCCCTTACCCTAGGGTAAACCTTTACTGCCCAAACAGGTAGGCAATTCAGCCTTAAGATACACAAAGAAACAATATCAGGAACAAGGAACTATGTTGGCAACTTCAAAAAGATTTTAAGGAGTGTCAGAGAATGCTGTTTGTCTGCAATTTGTCACCGAGCTTTCAGAAAATTCTTTGTACACCTGTGTTGGTATAGGCAAGTTAACCGTAAGCAAGTATGTTAATTTTCTTCTCTAATCTGTATCTATAAAAACATCAGATGCTTAGCTGGGAAAAAAAAAGATGACAAAAACATGCCTACAAATATGCAGTAACACACTGATTGAAAGATATTTAGCTCTA